TGGGTAAACCTATTCTACCTAGAGCATCATAGAGCATATTGGTCTATGAATATATAATAATATATATATATATATATAGTATGTGTATTGCATACATAGATATATACAAAACTCACATTGGGGATCATTGGGGTATCTAACCATACCTAACCAACGAAATGATGAATCTCATCATGGCGATATTCAACAAGAATCGTCGTGTTGAAGCCATGACAAAAAGTTGACGGCTCTGCTCGTAATGTGCTTGCATTGCCGTATTGCCTTGGCATATGGAAAAAAAAACATGTTCATGTATTTTCATAGTAGCAGAACCTATAGTTGAACACTAGATCATTTAGTCTCTTTGGCCCACCGAAACACGAAAAGCCTTTCACCTCTACCGGAAGCCACCGCGAGCTGTGACCTCCAGGTTCTCAGCTGTTGCGAGCGAAGATCGATATGCAGCATCCCAACATGAACATGAGAGATCCACCCATGTGTCTTGGCCAACAGACATGTTGTGGGGATTGGTGGACCCGGAAGTTGGGTGGGCTACCAGACATGGCGACATGGCAAACGGCGATGTGGATTTCACCAGGAAGAATGGTATCATAACGGATATACAAAAGACGATTGGTTGATGATCAGTTTTCTTGCTTTTCTAACCTATAACATAGGTTTTATATGGTTTAATATGGTTTAATATGGTTTAATATGGTTTAATATGGTTTTATGGATGTTTATGGTATACAATACATCTCCAATTTTTGGGATACGGGAGATTCCTGTGGCCGGATGGCCATCCGGCCATCCAGTTTTTCTTATGGGATTCCCTATGGGATGGACCAAAAACCAGCAAAAACCCTGGTCTTTGACCATGGCATGACTTTTTGCGTGTGTTTGAAAAAGGGGATTGCCTTTCTGATAGGGAAAAAATATGAAAAAGTTAAGGATTTGCAATTAATTTGGGTTCAATTGCAATTAATTTGGGTTTGGTTTTTTGAATATCCCTTAGGCTTTTGATTCCATGTAATTCTTGGATTTTCATCCACATGCACACCAAATGTTTAGAGGTATTGGAGAAGCCCATCAGCGGTCCATGTGTTTGACAGAAGGGATACTGTGAGCCCCACGCGTTTCTGAATCTTGTTGTTCTTTGTCAAATTGAATTCACAATCCCCGCAGACACAAATGAAGTGACTTTTAAGTGCGCCTACAGAATAAGTGGTAATTAGTAGACCCAGCTCCACTGTGCGATTTGATTTCACATATCACATGCAGGGACTCAGCTTCAGTAAATAGGACTGGTATATTGCAGGAATCCTTTCGGATCCGGACCCGGTGGGCCACCAGCAAATCCCCACAAAAACAACGAACAAAACGCAAACAGCGAGGGAAGATAGTCACATGTGGCCCAAAGTTTTGTCTTTTTGATTTTCTTTACTGCATTTTCCGCGCGTTTGGGCTCCCAGTGGTTTTGGATCGTGGAGTAATTTTTGAATTGTCACAAGACGCGCAAGACGCCCAATTTCACCGGGTTTGTTTGATTTAATTATGTGACTACTTGCCTTTGATAACTCGGTGGTGTTTCTCACATGCTTGACACACCCCGCATGGACATATTGGCTGCATGTTGTGTTCCAGTGTTTGTTAAGTCACTGGAGGAGCTTTTTTACTTGTTCGGTAGGAAAGCAAAATTGCCTGACAAAAAATATGTAACTGTTTCCTCAAAACGTGCCAAATACTCTTGCCAACATGAGTGAATTGGACTGTGGTCTCTAGTTTCAACCGATTGCAGGCGCACACACACACAGACACACACACACACAACCACGTGGCAGCAAAGTGGCAACAAACCCATATCTATATTTTATTGAAAGGACGTATGTATATATGTGTATATATATATACATATCTCATATATCATATTTATATATATATATACGCAAACGCGATCATATTTGCAAATATACACATATATTATGTATGTTTGTGTGGTGCTGAAACTTTTCGCACATGAGGTACATTTTGCACCAATTTTGTTCAGGGTGTAATGACTGTGGTGAGCTGCTTTTCCCGTTTTTGTACTCTCAAAGAAGTATTGAGCCGATGCTGCCACGGATTTGAAGACTCTGCGCTAGGCTACTTCATGCTATTTTTCTGCTTATGCAATAATTCTTGCACACGAGTGTAATGTTCTTTGAGGAAAGCAGTTGTCACTTCATACACTATTTAGGCACACAGTTTGAAAAAACGCCAACCATTTTCAAAGAACACACTTTCTGCAGGAAAGTGCAGCATCACTTTCAGAGACGGCAGCAACTCCGTGACAAGAGTGCAGTAAAGACCAGCTTTCAATGAGTCTTTCAAGATATACAGTATCCACACAGATAAAAAGCAGAGTGTTACCTTTCAAATTCAGTCCTTTGACATACAAGTCTGTTGCCATATGCAGTAGATATTGTTTCCAAGACAGTCCAGTTTCTTCCCTTGAGAAGGTGCAGCATATTCTTTAGATATAATCTCTCAACATATCATGCGCATTGGTAAAAGCGTGCCGCTTGCTTGTAAGAGAGTGTCGCATCGCTGTGTGCAAAAAAATGGCTAGAAGAGAGCAGCATTTCTGTGAAAAGAACGCGGCATTTCCTTGAACATGATGCAGTCTATATTGCTTTGAGTTCAGGGAGCCCTCAAAATGTGCGGCATTCTTCCGAAACGACAAGCATTCCTCCGAAACCAAGCGCCATCCCTTTACTAAAACCTCTCCCGTAAGAAATATATATATATATAATTATAAATAATTAAAT